TCGCTCAGGACTGCAGTAATAATCCTACAATAGTTACAATGATATCCAATATGTTTAAAAGTTATTGATTGTCCCGCGATTGTTTTATCGAACGATACAGGTGTGAACAAAACTGTTAGTCTCCATTTTAGGTGCTAAATAATTTACCTTTCCTACATTTAATCAAACTCACACGCCTGCAAACACTTGTCAGTAAAAACTCTAAAGGCAATATAAAATTCTTATCGTAAGTGTAGAAATCACAACGTTATCATGTGTGGGTAAACTAAAAAGTATCAATCAGAGCTGTCAACCGATTTAGGTTTTTTTCTATAAAACATATCTGTCGAGCATCGCCACTTTACGAAAATGTTTTCTACGTCAAGGTAGAAAATTACAATGAAAGTTATTAATAGAGTTAATGTGTCGTTAATCTAAAAATAAGTTTGATTATTTCGATGTAGTAAATCTCATTAGTTTTTACGTGCTTTTAATGACTATTATAAAACAATAATTACCGTTAAGGAATTTATAGAACTAAGAAATTTCATTTAGTGAATGGAATTGGAAGTAAAAGATTTTTTTTATTTTTTTAGACTTAGTGTTTTTAAATAAGTTTTGATCCTACTATTATAATGTAATATATGGTTAGTCAATCTTTCTTCATATACAGGTTCCTAACTAAAGTATCAAAAGTCATTTTCAAAACTGGGGACAGGGTAGGAGGCTGTTGGGCGACAAACCAAGGCATTAGACGAGCACTACATAAGTCTGCGAATTACACAGATTCACATAACTTTGAGCTCCCAAAGGCATATGTTAAAGAAATGGACTGTAAAACTCTAGCCCAGAGCACTAGTAGAGTTAACACTGGACATTTTCACTTTATCTGTTCCAAAATTATGATTGGTAACTTTTGAAGTCATCAAGACATTTTATCAAGGATCGCGTTTGCACAAACATTGTAACAATTCCCTCGCTTCTCATAATCTTAATAACACACGAGATAGTAAATTACCTACATTTTGTATGCACGTATCTAGTTTATCATTCAAATAGGCATCATATGCATATCGGAAAAAATTTAATTAGTATAGAATACAAGAAATTTAAGATATTTAATGAAAAAATAGCCTTTATATAGTCTGATTTTTTCGCCTTCCATGTAAAAGTCAATGAACACCTATATACTCGTGTATCATATAGGGGGAAGCCCGCAATATGTCTAGACGTCCAAAGGCACAAAGGATATGTTGTAAATTAAGTTAGGTATATATATTACAAATTCAGAGTTGCTTCAAACCTGCGTATTAATATTCTATTTACCGTTAAGAAAAACAATTCTGTTTAAGCGATTGAAAAAGATTTTACTTTTATCAGTTACAGGGCGTCCATTTAATTTGATTGCCAGTGCCTGTTTCATACAAGGCTAATGTGATTATGACAGATGTTAACTGCAATAGCAACCACTAAACACTTCTGTTTAACGTAAAGTTACCATTGTAACGTAGTGTTCGTTTTGTAACGTAATTATTTGCGTACATATATGTTCTTGAATAATGACATACATTTAGGATGAACGCGTGTGTAAACTACGCACATTTATAAAATATGTCACGAATACTAATGTGTAACGTACTTTACTCATATTCTTCTTATTTTCGAAGAAGAAATGATCAGCGCCTCGCAAAGGACATGCAATGAGAACATGCACAGTGCTGTAGATCTTTGCTTAATATCTGACTGGATGAATGGTACCAGAAATCGATGTAAGGCAGATTTTGACGACATCAATCCTAAACTTCTTTGTAATTAACGTTTTTCGTAAACAGTAAAATATATGGATTTGGAAGTTAATTCCATGGTTGGTGAAGATTTTGCAATATTATTTCAAGAAGCGACGTAATAAGTACAAAACTATTAACACGACTAGCTGTTACATAAGATTTTTTTTTATTTTACATACAAGACTAACGATGTTCTTTGTTATATGATGTGAAACATAAGATAACCCTCTTGAATGGCAGAAGTCAAATATCAAGGACATAAAAACTATGTAAATGTTGTATGAAAATCGACACACCTATGTGATGCAAAGAGGGGTAAAATAATATTTAAAACATTATCGTCTGGGTACAGAATACACCCCATGTTTGCTGGCAATATCCCAAGACTATTGTCGATATGGCGTCGGGGGCAAAGTACCACGGAGGTACGAAGTCAACGGCCTCGACTGAATGCTTCAACTACGGCGATCAATTAAATTTTCCTAAGGATTAATGCAAATATTCTTTAGCAGATAAGATCGACCGCGTAACCCCGTAACGTCAACCGAAAAAATTATGCAAAAAGTTATTTTTACACGGCTGCGTAGTAATAGCGAGAGACGAATGGAATACAAGTTAATTTACTTATGGTTGAATTTCTTTCTTTTATTATCTTTATAAGATTATAATGTTACTATAGAAATGTACAAACTATTCGCTAACCACATTGCTATATGAAAAATTGTCGAGATTAATTTAAATACATACAAAAAGATTTTTTGCAACAGCATTAAGTCTGTCGCAATGCTATTCAAAATTCTGTAATTGAATGTAAATTATTATTTTTTTCACACGTATCACGTTTTCTCGTTTTATTTGTTAGATTTGACCCCCCGCTATTATTGACATTAATCATGTTGTCTTGACAGTCGTCAGGGAATAGCATCCGCCATGTGGTGCCAAGTCGTTGGACTGTCAATTCGTCACGGGGGAACACATTTGCTATAATACGGTTTCCACTTTTCAATAGTATCAACTCAGAGATAGTCAAACTTTTTTTGTTCTTAAAACTCTTTCTAAATTTATTGGTATCAGTGAATCTCCTGCAGTGTTTTTTCTTCAAGTTATGAACTTTAAACTTTATGTCCATCATGGTACATCCCCGTCAAGTCATCCGAGGACCCCAAAGGTTCCACTTGGACCACTTTGAGAATCACTGGCACAACTGTACTAATGTTTAGTTTAACATTTTGAACACACACTTCAGTCAATTAAGGTTGAAATATGATCATACAAATAGCGTAAAAATGAAAATCAATAATTAAAAAAAATAAAAAGTACTGATGGGGTTAACCTCTATTACGTCATCTTTTCATCATCACTTTTTATTACCAGCAAATGCAATTTCATTATAACATTACTTTGCTCATTATCTATGTATCAAACATAAAAATATTCTAAGATTCAGATATTTTTTTATACCACAATCACATTCTCTGTAATTTCCACTTAACTGCAATCTGTATAAAAGGCTTTCAAATATATTATAAGTTTACCGAACACAAATATCATAAATAACATGCGAAAAATAATAAATATGATCTTCACAAAGTGCTATCAGTTACTTCAGTTATTAAATATCAATTTGGTGTTTTAATCGTATTTGATATTTTTTTTGCTACAACACTATTGAGGCTAATATTTGACAAAATATATAATACTTAATTTCTTTACTTGTATCTGTTTGTCCCAAATAAATGACATACAGTGTATGATAACCCAAGTAAGCAATAAGATGAGGTCAATTAGTATACATTATGAGAATATATAACATTCAAATTCACTAATATTCATATTCAAAGCTTTTTTCTGTGGCAGATTAACCAATTGCTTATTACTTTTTAGAAACCTTTATCCATTATAATAATAAATTGATTCTGCAACTCAAATATTAAACTAAAAAAGTCGACACCTCTCTCTCTCTCTCTCTCAGAAAAAAGAACACAATATATTTTATATAAATGTTTAAGCAATAGGAATACATTCATGAATAGCATCTTTAACTCAATCACATAGGTGTCATAGACAATCCTCTATGCAGAGAGAAATAAAGTGAAATCAGCATCTTATGTAAAATATCCTACAGCAGTATCCCAATTACAGGGTCCACTATCTTGGATTGTTGAGATTGTTCTAAGAAATCATCAATAAAGAGGTTGCCAAGATTTTTCCGCAAGCTTGTTCGCTGAATTAATCATTATTCAATCCTAACACAAAATATGCACCGCTCATGGAGTTACAAACCCAAGATAAGACAAACTCAAGTTAAGAAAAATTTGTGAATTGAAATAGGAGGCTTATCAACACAAGAAGTCTAGAAAAATGAAAATACCTATAGTTATTGCAGGAAAAATATAACTTAAATTTTACCAGAATCTAATTGGAAAGTGAAAATAGAATAAAGTGCTGACATTCTATTTTTTTAACTTAATTTTATTGTTAATTTAAAGTATCATACCAATCTCTTTTGAAAAAAGAACAGATAATTCTTTTTAGACTTAAGCCAATGTTTTTATTGGCTGTAGTCTCAATTTAAATAAAGCTTGAACATTAACATTATGACAATATGTTTCATTGAATATTATAAAAATATTCAATTATATACATTGAATAAAAATTTATTCAACTTGTTTGAATATTCCAATTAGAATTAAAAATGGTTTGATCGTGATTTTTGTCTGTATTTTTGACATGTTTTTTTTTCTTTTATTAAATTGATTGGGCTGATTAAATGGTCTGGATTTTAAACACAAGCAGTTAAAGGTCAGACTAAAAAAGTGTTTTTTAATTATAATTTAAAAGAAACTTTGGTCGTGTAGGTTAATTTTCGGAGGTTTATTTGTAAGATTATTAACTATTTCCGTTAAAGGACTCATAAATGGAAACATGCAATACATAAAACAGTTGTGTAATATGTTAATTCAAAGTAATTAGTTATTGCTATTCTATTATTACGTTAACATTTATTACCTGGAATTATGCATTGTTATATTCAAATTGTATTTATTGTTTCGACACATTAGTACACAATAATGTTAATTAATTAATATGGAAAAAAAATCAAATTGTAGTCACATGGTTTAATAACAGTCACATGACTGCAATGCAGTCCGTGCAGGTTTAAAATTAAATATTTTTTACTTAGATCAATTGCTCAATGTTACATAACTGAGGACATGACCATTCAAACCTTACCTGTGTTAACATTTTCGCCGCTACTTTTTTCAGTCACATTGCTGGTACCTTGACATTTTTTCACTTTTTGGGAAGTATGTTTCGATACATTATCGTCATTCACTTCACTACCGGGAGCCATAACAACACGAGAAATTAATCCGGCACTGACTGACCGCGACGAACGGTACCACACTCACTCAGCTGAAAAAAACATGCGGTACAGTTAAGGTTCAGTTTTGTCTAACATATCCAAAAGTTCAATTATGTAAGTTTGTAAAAACTTAAAGCCTTTTTATTCCTATAACTCTCCTTTCTAAACGTACCTATCTTAAATGATAGGTTTATAGCTGCTTAACACTATTATTTTTATTATAACAAAATAGTAATTTAAAATTTATTTCTATACAGTGAACCATATGTATGCCAACAAATTTTAAGTAGAAAGAAAAATAAGCAATGTATTCTAAATTGCACGATATTTTTTGTCAGCGGCATCTGGCGGTGACAATTATAACACTGGAAAATCAATGACGTTTCATTTTACGCAAATATTTTACGGAAACACGTAAACGTTTAAAAGTTCATCAAAGAATGTTATGGCCAGTTATGGCTATGATTTTTATTCATACATATACTAGTAACTCTTCGAGATTTCCTTCTGTTGAAAGAGCAGAAACAAAAATATGAATATTAAAATGCATATGGCGAAGTTTGTTTTGGCTAATTTTCAAAATCAGTAAAATACTTTCGAGTCAGCGTGTTTGAGGAGTTTTTGTTTATTTTTTACTTTTTGACAAAATAATACCATAGACAAACAGTAAGCAAAGTAGAATTTCACTTATTTTTGTTGCAAAATTATCTTATTTGAAAATATCATTTAAGTAAATATTTTTTTTTGCTTAACTTGTGCCCATTAGCAATAATACTGGCGTCCGAAAACTATCCCAAGGTATTGCACGATTTACTTTAATTAGATTATTGTATAATATTGTATTTAAGTAATCTCCACAAATACTTTGTTCCTAACAGAAGATGTTGGACGGGTGGTATTGTCGCTCTATAGCGAATATGCAAGCAAACGAGGCTGCAAGCGTCAGCAGCAGCACTGTGGAGACGTCACGATCCCGGGAACAAATGAAAGATTACTCCAGTGACAGCAGTAGCGATTCTGAGCAGGAACCAAATTATGAAGCGCAATATCTTAAACTTAAAAAGAAATTAAAGTACCTTATCTATGTAAGAAACTTACATGTATTATTTAAGGGAAAGGGAATATCTTCTTACTGTACATCCTGTCTGTTCATTATAGGTAGCCAATTCATCACACTGTAAAATTAACTCATAGTAGTTGTAACACTTAAGAAATTTTTCATTTTAATGTTGAATTTTTCCAAAAAAACCTATTACCTTATTATTGTATTAAATTTCAGGAAAATGAATGCTTTCAAGATGCCTTGCGCAGTAGCCAAAAGAGACTTCTAAGAGTTTCTCGGGACAGAAGCTATCTTTTGGACAGATTACTGCAGTATGAAAAACATGACAGCACTACATCAGAGAGTGATGACACAGAGTCATCAGATGATGGTTCTTACAATAATCTGGATGCTGCAAAAAGGTAATTAAAAAATCTGATGCTTTGGTCTGTTTACAAATCTGCAAATACATGCAACAAATTTTATTTCAAAATCACCTTTTTGGAACAAGATGTGGTTTCTTCAGCTTTTTTAATAGATCAATAATTGTCACAGCAATGTCGGGAGGATGTTCAAATTTAAAATATATTATTTCAGAAAAAAACTAGAAGCAACCGCAGCCCAGCAAGTTATATCCACACCATCTGCTCTAAATAAAAATGCTAATGCAATGAAAAGGAAAAGAGCAGCTGTACAAAAAAAACCTCCAAACACTAGTCTTTCAGTAAGGGATAACTAAGTTATGAATCCACCATCTTTACAATATGCTATGTAATATATCTACATAATACATAAATAATTGTAAGAACAATGAGAAATGATATAAAACAATTTTTAGCACATCCAAGTTCTAAAAACACTTTTGATTTTGAAGAAGAGGACTCACTTGGATTTGATTTTCTTGCCAGTTTTGAGAATGTGTAGTTACAATGAAGTAGACATAGTTAACAGAGATTTATTAACAGATGTATAACCTCAAGTATCTATTACATAATTAGATGCATTTTAGAAACTTACAACTGCTTTACTTTAACAAGATACAGTTCAAATAACAGCACTCTCTTCCCGACGGTGTTGGAAGAGATGTCTAAAGGGTGTGGACTAGGGCTTGCAACCAGTCACCACTTTTCATGTATGTCATAAAATTCGCTTAAAGAATTTATGGTTTATATTTATAATTTTACCAGTGGGCTTGCAAGCTTTCATTACTTTTGCATTGTATGGCATTTTGTTTTTCTTTTGCATTTTTTGCAACTGTGGTCCTGGGCATAAGCAGTGCTCCAATTAAAACTAGTCCTACCTTACATGTTATAATCCACTATATCTGTAACCGTAATCCTGTATGTAAATTTAAAAAATGCAATGGTACACCCTTTTTTATTTCAATATTTTGTTTATTTATTGTAGTACATCGTTTTTAAATGTGTAGTTTTTTTTATTGTGTTGTTCCTTAAATAAAACGTTATATACATTTTGTGCTTGTCTTTTTAGCAGCAAGGGAATGCGTCAATGTTGTCGAAAGCCTCGCCGGCTCTAGGGTTTGGGCTGTCTACGAGTGATGGTCACATGACACCGGAGGAAGTAGAACGACATCTGCAGTCGCGTCAGTCTTACTTGGAGCTACTGCCGGAGCGTGCACCCCCTACTGTACCTACAGAGATGTTTAGTAATGATCCATCACTTGACAGGTTTGTATAAAAAAAATGAATACCATAATTTTATTACAGTAAATGTGTTCCATTTATAATAATGTTTTAAATTGTTACAGTGAGTCAAATGATGTGTTGGAAAATTCACCAAATGTGGAAGAATGGTTTGATTAACTATTACGCTTACAATCACTTAGTATAAGGAAATTAAAATACTTTAATATTATTAAGAATATTGTCCGCATTATTTTTATATTTGCAAAAAAATGTGTTTCAAATAAAAAAAACATATGATATATTGTGGTTACTTCATTCAGGTACACCCCACCTACTTTTATTCAAACTCAATCGAACTAGGATAAGAGGGAGTTCTCGGGACTGTGAGTTTTTTCTCATTTATAGAGGTTTCTCTCATCAGAGTATTTCGCTTATAGAGGTCGTCTGTCGGGACCGGGGGACTGACTTATCCTGGTTCGATTGTTTTTTTAGTGTACATTTTAATATAACAATTACGATAAAACATGCCCTAAATATCAAGCCGCAATGTGTTCAACAATGGTATTAAATTACCAATCCAATAGATAGCGCCTGAAATGGTCATACTCAGTAAAAAATATGGAGCGCTTCGAGAAGAGTTCGGCACTACTCGCGTTGGCTGATGCACTGTCTCGCACCTAGATTACTTTTTTTACTCTATCTAAAGGTCCCAAATTTACTATAAAAATAATTACCGAAAAATATTCGACTTTTAATTTAAGTTTTCACTGTTTATTTGCACTTTCATAATGAGGATTTTTTTATTTTAAATCCAGATTTAGTTGAAAAGTTGGCATGGCCCTTGGGAGTTGGGGGTAACATCCTCATAATTCGCCATTCCACCTCACCCCTCCCTTTAACTTTTGCAACATATCAATACCATTTCCTTTGTAATTTCGACATGCTCTTATGAATCACAAATTCTTATCGGACTTGGATATCCTGTTATATCCCTCGCTTAACAAAGGCAGTCATATATATTTTTCTATTCTCTAAATGTGCGTCAATAGAAACATTTATAAATAAAAGATCATTTCAATTGCTTCGGTTAAATATTTATTTACGACGATAATTGATTAGGTACAATACAAGCGCAAGGAATAAACATCTATCAAAGAACACGCCAAAACTTCAATGTACAGTCAACTGCACAACTACATCAAATTGTTTAAGTTAAGCTTTTTCTGTTTCACTATTTTCCCATAATACACACATAACATTGTACAGATTTTTTTTAAACGTGATAAATATTTTTAAACAATTAATATTACTTTGTTGATTCTAATCTCTTATTATGATCTACCATGCAAGATAAGCTTCAGCACTCTACCGACATAACATTAAATGTTCAATGCAAGTTAAACTATATCTAAACTATGTATATAAATTTAATGCCTGCTTTAAACAAATTGTCTATATGAGATTCCTATATAAAACACAAGTACGTATCTATAGAATTCATAATGATTTGCTTATTCCTATGAGTTATGGAAGATAAAGCATAACCTCAAGCCTTATAATAGATATGGAATGAAATATAATTCACGATAATATAACAAATATGTTTTTATCACATATTTTTCACTTCATTTTTAATATTGTAGCGCATTTTCTATATAAAATGAACACGATACATTTTTGTTAAAATTTAAAGACAATTGCCTAGTAACGAATATGTCTAGGTGTGCCAAAAAGTCAATTACGGTACATTTCTAATGCCTGATTACACACATGAATGGATTCACATATGTACAATGTTTTAGGCATAAAGTATGGTTAAACTTGTTACAATAATAAACATTAATTCCGAGATAAATTACTTGAAGGTTTAACAAGTAACAGGAACATTATAGGAAAAATAATCTCGTAACAGTTAAAAGCTGTATCATTTGTATAGCTTCAAAATTAGTATCTTGGTACAATACCAAAAATAAAAGTAACTACAATACATTTTTTTTGATATTACCCGTCATAGTTGAAAAAACAAATGGAAATTTACAGAATATTTTTGTGATTGGTTAATTTCCTGAATATAAGACTTAACCATATATATTATGAACTTTAATAAGTTATTAAATCTAAATAAAAACTTTCTCACAATAGAAATAACATTTTATATATGTAAAAAAATCTAATGTATTGTCTACAATAACAATTTTGAAAATGTTGAATTTTTTTTCACATTTTGAGCACATTACAAGTGGTTAAATATCAGCAATAAATATGTAATACATGTAGTAAATAGACACTAAACAATTTACACATGTTTTGAAAGTATACAATTAATATGTTATACATTGTTACAACATGCACTTTGGTATGTTAAATAATTGTAAAATATATAAACATTCTGGCGTTACATAATTGATTAAGTTATAATTCATTACATCGATAACCTATATACAAATATTCATAATTGGTATATTTTATACCACCAAATGCACTATGATCCAAGAGATCAGAAATTTTGATACTTTTCAGTATTATGTAATCAAAACGTAATTTACTTTTAAATGAAAGAAATGTAAAAAAATATATAAGAAGACAATCTATACCACAGTTAATACAAAACTTAAAAAATATACAATGTTGTCTTTTATTTATATCAGTGTACATTGCTCATATCAATCAAAATAAAACTTTTATTTTTTTTTACAAAATATTTATAACTACTCTATTAATAAAAATTAAAAAAAAAACTATACACAAGAGATTTCAAATGGAATCAGTACAAATTTCATCAAAATATTACAGCACACTGTATGAATCCTGCAGAACTTCCAAAATAGAACACAAAACCTTATACATTTTAACACTGATATTATTTAACTTCTTGATAACTTAAACTCCTTACTAAAACTGATCTGCCAGCAGATTGCATATCTCTTGTGAGGCAGACTCTTTGCTTGATCTCACTGTGAGTCTGAACATTTGAGCTTGTTTATTTGGTTCTAATCTCATGAGGCACCCCACTTGCTGCATTCTTGTGTGCACTATACCAGCACATACAAAGTTATCAGGGTTAGGGTCAATACCATCAAGAAGCTGCATACCAAACCCGGCAAGTTTGGTGCGTGTTGCTGCCAAATCAATAGCACCCTGAGCTTTAAATATTTTTTGTGCTCTCTGCTGTTCACCTCCCAAGTTCTTCCATCTTGCAAAAAAGGATTCACCATTCATTTCTGTTGGTTCGAAAAACTTGTTAAGGGTGAGTGGGAGTTTCATAGTTATCTTCTGTGGTACATTGTTATAAATAAAAGAAACAGACATGGTAGGGGCATCAGTGAAATCTTCAATGCACTCTGCAGTTAGCATCTGCTGAATCTGAGCACCTGCTTCCAGTACTGGCTCCATTGGCTTCATCTGGACATTCAGTTTATGTAGGTCTGTCCAATGCAATTCAGGATGGACATTTTGAATAGGGAACTGTGTCTTATTGCCATAAAACAGTCCAATTCTTCCCAAGTTTTGTCTGAATTCACTCTTGACCCCTATTTGAATTAGATCATTTTCAAAAAGAACACCATTATTTTTAAATAGGAATTTCTTGATGTTGTTCTGCTGAACTGTGGTGGGACTTATTTTAGGTGTTGTATATAGGTCGCCTAGGACATCGAGTAGTCCATTGCCAGTGGTGGAATTAGATCCAGGAGGAGTAGATAGACCGAGGAGATCAGCACTCGAGTTATTTGTGTTGTTTGTAGAATTCATTGTTGGTGCCGGAATTATGGAAGGTTGAGGGCTTTTAGACTCCCTTACATCGTCAGGTATGCGGCCAGGCTTTTTCTTTTTCAAAACTGCCAAAATAGATGATTCCCTCTCAGGGAAAGCGGGCATTTCTTCTAGGACAGTAGCCAAGACATCAGAGCTAGCAACTATGCTTAGTTGAAGATATTCAGAGGCTCTTTGCTGCAACTCAACATCAGCAGATCTCAAATTAGAATCAGCTCTAAAAACTTCTTGTACTCTGTTCTTAATTTCAGGGAATAAATTCACCAGTTTAATATAAGTTGACAAGAGTAGTGCCCTTGTAGCTGCAGAACACAAGTGATACTTGGAATGGAGCAATTCAAATTGTACTTGTGGTGAGGACTTAGTATCACCAGCAATCAAGTTGCCAAATTCACCAAGAATGTAACCACCAACCTTCACCATATTTTCATGGCATGTAGGAGCTTGTAATGCTTCAAATACAGTCTTAGCAGCATACGCCTGCACCTCTTCTCTATTTATGACAATTTGTATGACTCTGTACCACACCTCTTCTGAGACATAATCACCTGCAATCCTGATCAAGTTCAAAATTACATCAACATACCAAGTGAAATCAGTAGCATATTTCTCTGCTAGAATGGCAACTTTTAAGACCATTTCTTCTCTAATAGAGTAGTCAGCAGTTTCTAAATAGGCCAACATCTCCTGAACAATTTCCTCAGCATTTGTTTTATCACACATTGCATAGAGTAGGTCAACAGCCTGCTGTCTAACAGAGACATCTTTTTCCATCTTCATTGACAGTATAACAACCTCTTGGTGCTTTTTGACAGCTTCATGAGAAAATTCAGAGGTAGCAAGATGGCACATAGATTCAAGAGCTAAGTATCTCAAGTTGGTTTCTCTATTGCTAAGAAATTGTCCAAGCTGGTTACAAGCACGGACTAGAAGATTAGCTTCACTATCATTGTGTATAATCAAACTGATGGCTTCAAATAGTACAGCATTTTTAGCATTAGAATGTTGTACTTTCTTAGACTTGGGTGGCTCTTGGGCTTTATTAAATATTGTCTCCAAACACTCTGTTAGACGTCCCTTCACACCTGGCTCTTCAGATGGAGGATTGTAATTTTGCAGCAAGCGCAACAACTTTACAGATAACCATGGAGCTGGTACAAAGTAGTAGGTATAATCTTGTAAATCTGTGTAGCTAGCTGTGACAATCCTACTTAAACGAGCCACCGCTAAAGTGACACACCCCTTATACTCATCTGGATTTTTCTTAACAAGAGCATCAATAAGGGATGTGGCTGCAGTGACAACACCCATATGAGGATCATTCAGTAAGTGAATAATTCTTGAAGTCCACTCACCTCCTGGAATTATTTCTGGTGACTTGCGGAACAACCTCAACAGACACAAAGCAGCTGATTGTTTTACAACATCCATTGTATCACCAGACACAAGAAGCTTAGGAATCTCTGTGCCAAAAGCCTCTGCCATGTCTTTACTGCCGATATTAGCAATGCACTGGAGGGCAAGGTTGACATGAATAGGGTTTCGGGATTGGAGATCATTTTTAATGCTCTGGATAATGAGTTTAATGAGGTCACTATTAGTATTTACCAAGACCGAAATAAAAAGGTATCCGATCTGTTTTTCTGAATATTTATTAGAAGACAGTAAGTTGACTGCCTCCATATGACCGAAGTCTATATCATGCCCCAAGAGAAAAATAAACAGGAGTTTGCAAACGTACTTTTTCTTCTGGTAGCCATCGAGGGTTTTGTCACCCTTGAATTTGCTTCTAATGTTCGCGAGCTCCTTGTTAATCCTTTTTATTTCTGCTTCTTTACTTTTACAATTTCTTATATCTGATATAAAGACAGCTAACCCTCGCATACCATCTCCCCTCACGGCAGGCATATTGCCAAGAGATTTATCGAACACCAGTTTTAAGCCTTCTTTATGCCCCGGTTAGATATATAGCACAACACCAACTGAATCTAGGGATTATATTAAAGTTTGGAAATCGGCATTAATTAAAGATAATAAGGATGCCGAATCAAAATTATAACTCAGAATCAAATACTGAGCTTTCTTCTACAACGCCTTCCCATATTATCTATGACTATGAAATTGAAACGTCAGAGTTGAACTGAATGAACATTTGTTTATGGATCAATATTTTACATCTTCAAGCACCGAGTGAACATTTCTTAAATTCAAAAAGCATAATTGCGCTTTTTTTACTTATAGAAACGAAGTTTATAAGGTGTTTTTTTTATTTTAGAAATAAATAATTGCTATTTTTCTAAAAATTACTAGTAATTAAGTAAAATAACACATTTTTTTTTCAGTTATTTCAGTTACTCGCTAGGTTTATATCCTATATAGTCGCGATCGACCAGTTGGCACCTCTGATATAAGCAAGTCAATAATTAATCAACACATCTTGCACACAACTATTAGAAAAATCGCAAACTTGGGGGTGGATCGTGGTCAAGCGCTAGCTTATAAAACGTAAAAAACTTGATACTTTCCTCGATATAAGAATACTTACAGAGCTAGCTATTTATTAATAATTTCTTCGAGGTTGCAAATTTCGTAACGTACGATTTCTACAATTTCTTAAATTAACTTAATATCCATTAATTAAGATTATTTTCGATAAAATGAATATCGATACATACGAACATTGATATGATTTTATAGCATCTGTAGCAACGTTGCTCATCACTCCCAATCGTTCCATACTCCACCATCATATTAATTTTCATTCATTCATTCCAATTCATTCAGTCATTCAGTCTAAAAGTCACAAGATTCACGAAATCGCTAATATTTCTCATTTCAATTCATAGGATTCATGTTTCATGTAGATTGATGGTAATTGCAGTGCAGTGTTGAGATTGTATAACTTCGTAATTATTTTAGTAGTGAATATAAATTAGACATGTGCTTTTATGGTAGTCTCTACATAAGAATGGGATCATTGCATTTATTTTTTTAACTTGAATGGAGCCAGAAGGCAAAGTACAGAAAAGCATTGAATGATGCAGTCCATATTCTGGACAGGCAGAGTGTTATCACGTGCTATAAGAAATGGACTCTCGAGTCTCAATAGTGCTGCTGAATTAAACGTTTCGAATAAAAAACATCCGTATTTAGTTTCAGTGGTTTGTGGTTTTCCTAAAGATATTGCTAATGGAAGAACCCATAAAGGCCAGTTCGGAGACGACGCATGGTTCTCTTCACAATTTAGTAATGCTGATGTCATAGGTAAGCAAAAACTATGTTAGGGTTAATAATTTTGTTTTTATACAAACAAACAATAACTTTTTGTTATTACGTAGGTTGTTTGTCACTATTTTATTCTTTTACTTCAATTAGTTTTATATAAATGTGATTTTGAACTCTAAAGCCATAGAAATACAGTTTACATTTGAACAATAGAATTGAATTCCACGTTTAGGGGCATTTATTCGACAAAGCTAAAACCACGATAATTGATGCTATAAATTTTTTGTAAAATAAAACTAGATGAAACGGTATATAATATCAATTCATTCTTTAAAATAAACCAATTTGTGTTAAAATATATTTATTAATATAAATTATTTAATGAATGATCATCAGTTATTTGACCATATTTGTCATCATTGTTATTGTTATTTTATTAATTGTGATGGCTTTATATTTTTAATTTATTAAGGCAAAGGAAAGCTCAATGCCCTCTATCAACTTATCCTTTTATGATTCATTTATTGACATTATTATTATTCATAAGTCAATATTATGTAGATAATTATTTAGGTAAAGATGTAGAAAAAATGTAAATATTATATAAAAAGATTTTATTTAATTATCCTTGATCAATTTTCTACTGTAGAAATATTATAACAAAAGTTTATACATTCAAAGTAAAGTTACTGTTCAGATCATATAATTTTTGTGTGATTTTTTATAAGTAAATATTAGTAGATTTTTATTAATTTACTAATTTGGTTAACTTGTAAATGCTTGGTGTGGTTATGAATTAGGATATGGTGATGATAGTCAGATGGCAGAATTAGGAACCACACACCTTAGGTTGATAGGCTGTACCCCTAACCAATAGGTTATTGAAATATTATCTCAGTTTATTTAATGAGAACAATAGGGATGATATATTTTTGTATAAGTGTTTGAACAGTGAAAACCCATTGTAACAATAATAGTCTGGTAAAAACTGGTTGATACTGATTTGTCATAAAAGCTATGCATGAGCAAAACTGTCTATCAACCTATTGTTGACAATGCCTTTCCCGTTCTATAGTAGAAACTCAATTAACTGAACTAAGTGTTGTTGTTAGGCATCAAAGTAATTGTAATTTATAAGGAAAATCATGTTTTATGCAAATGTTCTATGTAACCTATGTGTTTATCATAAGAAACAAATTTATCAATGAATTTACCATATACATAGTCTACACCAGTTAGGCTTTAAAGCCAATATGGACTTACTAAAGTTTTTAACCACAACAACAGATATGGTACTAAGCAGTTACTACTTTTTTCTGTACAGGAGTTGCAGATGGAGTTGGTGGCTGGCGAGCATATGGCATTGACCCAGGAGAGTTTTCTTCATATTTAATGAGAACCTGCGAGAGACTGGTTCGAATGGGTCACTTCAAATTGTCAGAACCTGGGGACCTCTTAGCTAAATCTTATTATGAACTATTGGAACATAAGAAACCAATCTTAGGTAAACTTCTTAACATTATTATGGCATTACTTAATTTTATACACATACCCACATAATAATACTTTCACACAAATTTACTTTGCATTACACTGTGATGAAGAGTATCATATAAATGAAACTTTCTCTTTAAAATTGGAAAAGCTGTAGCTTCTAGAAGTTTCTATGGAACTATCATATACATAAATACTGTTAAATACTACAAGTACAATACTCTTAAATTCAGTTATGACTGAAATTGATATATTATGTGTTAAATCCAGAATATGTATGTTAATAACATTTTTGTTTTATTGCAGGTAGTAGTACAGCATGTGTGATGATCCTAGACCGTAACGAAAGTATAATGCGAGCGGCCAACATCGGTGACAGTGGTTACATGGTGGTGAGAGCTGGTCGGATTGTACACCGCTCACATGAACAGCAGCACTACTTTAATACACCTTACCAGCTTAGCTTACCGCCACCTGGACATGACAGGAATGTCCTTAGTGATAGGTGAGTTTATTAACATATTATTTATAAATTATCTAGCCAAGCCAGTTCCAGAAAAACATGACTGTATGACTATGATGCTTAGCAGAATAAGAATCAAATGACACCTGAATTGTCATCATTTTGCTTAGTCCTTTAGGCTGATCACAACAAGCTTGCTAGCTGTTATATATAATAGTATTCTTTTAATGTTGACCCTTTGCAATCCTATTGAGCTAATATTTAGTCATTTAAATGAGGCGTGCTTCTGAGCCAAAAATAAACACAAATTGCATTTTATTAGTGTAAAAAATATCTAAATTGAATAAGTCATTTTGGTAAACAACTGATAAGACAGTTGAAGTTCTTAATTGACGTGTTTTAAGCATTCACAGCTATTATCAGATTAGAAACAAGGCAAAAGGTCATTTCAATACATGTTGATAACAGTATAAACAAATCCAAGGCTATTCTATAATGATCCTAAGTGTGGCGGAAGTAATACAATTGTACTACAAATTTGTCTTTTCATTAGAGGTGTTACGTAACTAGTATGACAATACGTCATCATGGGTGCGGGACAGTCCCCCTTGTATGACTAACAACATAATCTAAGATTCATAAGACGTTTTATATCAATTGGATTATACACTATGAAATAGCAAGTTTGTAATATAACAAAAGTCCAGTTTCGTGTCCTCGAATATTTAAGAAAAAAAAAATAAACTTACAATAGAAAAAAAAATATTTGTTATGTTGTATAAATATCTCATATCATTGTAAGAAAGTTTGTTTATCCAAAAAATTCAAGGTGTTCCTCGTTAAAATAATACATGGTCACATTACGTGGTGTAGACTCATCTGTATTACATTAACATTGTAATAACGACTTTAACACTTTGAAATAAGGTTGAAAATTCTCGAACATTGTACTCTAGATATAACTGGTAAGTCAGTTGGATTCTACTGGATTGTACCAAAAAGATTTCGTTTATTTAAATTTGTTCTGGTATACGGCGACAGGGGAATGGCCTTTATGATTGTTGCTTGCTCTTGTTACAAGCTGTAGTGCACTTTTTGTGTTTGGCCAGACAGAGCAGACAGTTTACTAATTTTACGTATACCATTTTTACCAAGATTAGCATTTTAACCGTAAAAGTATTTTTAAAGGTAAAAAAAGATGATTTCGATTCGATTAAATAAATATTTCAGGCTTTTAATACTCTTGTTGACATCAAAATATACTTAAAATTTATAGTGGAATAATACTGTTGTCAACAACTTTTGATATAAAAACCATTTTTTTTCGGTGACCTATAAATAAAACGACCAAACGTCACCATGGCAATGTGTCAAGGAATTTATAAATTAGAATATACAAATGAAAAAGTACAGCAAATATAACCATTGATGTTTACAATAATATTGTAGCACTAACAAAGTATACAAACATTAACTCAATGAATGTTTACTCTTCGTGACCATTTAATCTCAATCAACTGTCATTTAGAAGAAAAATAAGCGTTCTCTTTTACTATCAGGGTACGAGGGCAATGCTTGAAGTGCAACTATCTACAAGCTTTTTAAAAACACATTTAACTCGGAAACTTTATGCATCCGAAACGGTTTTTTTTCCTGGGTATATTCTTAAATTAGAGTACATTATTGTGTTGTGGCGAGTAATCCCGAAGGCCATCGAAGTCGAGGGAGACCAGTGTCTGATGGATAGGTGGCGTAAATCGAGACGCGAAAAAAGCAAATAGGAATGGAAAACGTTACTGAACTAAGCCGAGGCACACAAAGCGCAGTTAAGCTAGAAGAAGAATAATATCCTAAAATGGGAGAGTAGTAGTCAGACCACATAGTGACTAGGAAACCTCGACTGTAACCATCTCTAACAGTCTTATATTAAACGCATAACATAATGTGTTACAAAAAGTTATCAATTAATATTAATAAATGGTTGCATTTAATTTACACAATAAAGTTTAAAATAAATTCACTGGAGTGGAACTATTTTTTGTAGCAGTAATTATTATTTCTGATGTGGTCAGGACGCGTGGAAGTCATGAGACTGGGCATCACAGTTCGCCGGTCATGTGCCCATTCCACCACCGGGCTTGTTGTGTACGACTGATCTAATATTAGAATTTTTAGCTTTCTGGATATTCGCCAGCTCTTAAATATTCACGTGCTTGCCCAAACTGTCATGACGCTTTTATTATTGTTATTTACATTATGTATAACCAAAATAAGATAACGGTAGCATGAATTGACACCATTTAATTGACACTTTAAATCAAGGTCGTCGGAGTATGGTGACCATTATGAAATTTATACTAGGATTACAGAACTTATTCTTGGCCTTATTCTACTTTATCAACCGCCGTCTCAATAACGAATATAGCACGATGCTAATTATTTTTTTTTATGGATAAGTTTGTGACTATCTAAAGCCTAAATGGTTAGACTAAATTTCAATAATGAGACATTATTCGATTCATTTTCTTCCACAGATTTTCATAGTCATATAATTAGTTGTTTTTAATTAGTACTTAAAATAAGTATTAATTATTTTTAGGCCGGAGTCAGCGGAGACCTCAGAGTTCCGTGTGGAGTGCGGCGACGTGATCCTGGTGGCGACGGACGGCGTGTTCGATAACGTGCCGGAGCCGGTACTGCTGGCTGAGATGAAGCGCGCGCATGCTGCGGCGGGCGCGGGCGCGGCGGGTGATGAAACCGAGGCACAGCGTCTGCAGGCCGTCGCCAACTCCATCGCGTGGATGGCCCGCAATCTGTCCTTTGACGGCTGCTATATGTCGCCCTTCGCTAAGAGCGCAAGACAGAATGGAATAGACGCTATCGGTAAGTTATAATCTTACTACTAAATTGTTTACTTATGAATGCGGATGTTAATATTATATAAATGGATGAATGATTGTTTGTTTGTTATTACATATCTCCAGAACAGCTTAATGGATATCGCTGAAATATGACATAGATGTAGAACATAGTCTGAAAGAACACATAGGCTACTTACTAACTTAAATTTTTATTTAATTTCGCGCGGACGGAGCCGCGGACAAAGGCTGTGTTCAATTATCCGTCTTTTTTGCTATCGTTTTTATGAAAGCTAAAAACAGTTAAAGTGAATATTATAGCATTAATTTTATCAGTAGAAGATAAAAATGCGTTGCTTTTTACAAATAATATTGGAAAGGAGAGAAAACTTCCGCTATTTTTACTAATTTCTTATACGCGTATTCGATGCGCCACTTAAAATATTTTTATATTTCTATAAATGTGAAATAGGGTTGCCAAAATGGTTTACAGTAATTGTGAAAATACTATATTTCCAATCTTTACTGCGATGCGTAAAATAAAATTTAAGGCAATAAAGCATAAACTCTTTTTTTCCTATCTAAACCGTTTCATACGTTTTTTTGTTAAAAAAGGTGGCAACCCTACACTGAAACAAAAGCATAAACAGCCTTGTGCTATTTACTTATCTGTGTTGTTTTTCAATTTCTTAAAAAGCAAGTAAATTGCGACCTGACTTAATTAAATATTTTACATTTATTAGTTACGGCATTGACAAATTATTTTGCAATTTCTCTTGTCCTAACAGACTATCAATATAAGCCGTTATTTTTAATACACCATGCAGTTCTTAAATTATCTATATATTCTGCCAGTATTTTGTTACCGCGGATAATATATGGTAGAAGACATAATTAGTTATTTCAATATGTGTCGCGTGTGCCTGCATGTGCTGATAAGATCTATAAAGGTTATGGAATGCAATCTCGAGCAACTTCTGCGTTGTATGCGCTGATAACTGCATTACGTAATTATAACGTATGCTAAACAATATTCTTAGTTTAGGATGTCTTGCGTAAAATAAGACCTCGGGAATAAACACATACAACAGGAAGATTTGAAGTTTCTTATAAATGCTAGTATAGTTGGCGGCGTTTGAGTTGGCACACCAAGCTTGAGAGCACTGTTGTGCCCCACGTGCCAAGTTAAACGCAAGTAGCGAGCAAGCAGCCACTTGAATTCGCCGAAATAGCGAAGCGACCGCTATCTATAGGCATCCGCAATTCCAGATGTTTTGCCTACGTTTTATCTATAATTAGTATGTACAGTCAAACAAGGATATCTGAACCGGCTACAGGTCTATAGTATACATAAATTTTCTTGCCTACAGGAGGAAAACCCGACGACATAACGGTGCTACTCGCAATCGTAGCGCTATGAAATTGTCCCGAAATGCCGCGATATTCGTGCCCGGACAAGATCACTTACGAAGAATTAGTAAAATTATAAAACGACACCAAAAAATTGCATATTTGGTTACTCAATGATAAAATATAGTTGTAATTTTTAGGATGTTATACAATTACGACATTGATGTTAATTAGAGGTCATCGAGGTGTGTCAGCCTAACACTAGTCGTTTGTGTGAAACTCGGGATTGTGTTTGAATCATAATGTCACTTTACAATTTTTTAGGTTATCTTTAAAAAAAATCAACTCTTTTTTAAATACACTTGTTATTTGATCCAAAAAATAAAAGGTACAAACATATTTTTAAATTATAATTGTTCTGATATTTTCCAATTTAAAAATTAATTTGCATTTCGTGTGACAAAACTGGTATTTTAATTACAGTCCCATTTAGTAAAAAAAAATTACCGGAGTCAATTAAAAATTGTTTTGCATTCATTTATTTTATCATTAAATGTTCTTTGTTATGCCTGAATTGTCTGATGAATAAGCAAATTGCATAGCAATAAAAGTTTTGAATCTTTTTTATAGTTAAATACATTTGTTTTTAAATTATTTCTATCTTTAATATATGTATAGACAATCCATAGATATTGTAAACATGGTCATAATAATTTCACAAAACATTCTTTATTCAAAAGAATAAATTTCTTTATGACAAACATTTGATTTAAAAAAAATATATCCAGTTGCTTTTGCCCATCGTTTAAAAAATTATCGAACGAGTTTGGTTATAACACATTGTATGTATTTTAGCTGACGTGGGTTATAAAAGAAATACTAGTTGTAAACTTGAATTTACTTATGTGATAGTATGGTGTAGTTAATTTTCTTTATGGCTGTAACTAATATCAGTATGGGTGATATCATTTGAGATCTTATTGTGTTATTTGCTACTTGAATGTATTGGTGAAAGACTGAATTAGTTTTATTATTTTCATAAAAAAAAAAACTGGAAAAATTTGTAATGTTATTTTTTCGAATCAATCACAAAAGTTTTATAAGCTTTGTACTTTAACGTATTTTGACGCAAATTCATCTGTTTAATATAGTTTTAGTTCTTGTTTTTTTAATCTTAACAAATATCAACTTCGTGACTCATTTCTTTTAATTGTAAATCATGATTCAACTACATTTTTAATTTTGTAAAAAAGTATGATAGCTCTTTATTTTGACTTAAAAGTATTGTTTTCTGTTGCAACATTAATATTCACTATTTAGATTGTAACGCCAGCTAAGGTAGGTAAATTTAATTTCATTTTGAAAACTACCCTCACTTTAAAAATATATGAATCAGGTAAATGCAAAAATCTCGCATCTAACTCATGTAAGAAACCTATGATTAATACATTTTAATATATTTATCTAATCAGAGCATTTACAAAGCTTTTGACTATCTTTCTGTTAAGGCTACAAAGTTCTTGGCTGAATATTTGTTGTGTTATAACTCATACATATTAATTTATTTTTTTATGGGACTGCGTGAAACTTTCCGTTTGTGTTGTATGGTGATTATGACATTACGAAGTGATATTTGAAACGTGAGATTCTACTTACTGTGGTTGCTCCGAGCTCAACGCTTCTTGCTCCGCACCAAAATTGTTTTGTAGATTGTGTAAAAAGTTGCAAATAAAAATTATGAATGTATATTTGATTTTTTTAAGTACAAAACTCTGTCCTCCTCTGGCAATTCGTATATGGCTTTGGAGATATATATTTTTCGTAACCGGAAAAAAACAACTGAAAATTGTTAGTCAAATTAGGTGAAATTTTAATGAACAGCAGATATGTAAAATTTATCTTCTAAATGGGGTTTCTGAGACCGATATTGTTATCTCTGTTTCGTCTAAAATAATGGCAAGGATGAATGTTTTATACAAAGATTTTGGCCTCAGAAATCTACGGGTGCTAAGAAAAATTAGTTTCTTCCAATATTTTAGAATAGATAGAACTTTCTATGTGTTAAAAAAGGTAAGAACCCTATGTTTAAAAACTTTAGGTTTTAGTAGGGAATGGTATATAAAGGATGTCAGGTAAGAACATAAAATCTTCAATAGAATTTAAGTAAAATCAAAAATAACTAACACACTTTTTAAAATCTTAATTTTATTATATTTACGAGTAATTCCACAATCTATAAATAAATTACATGAACCATATATTCCTTCCTTACAACTTATAGAGCTGCTGCCTCTCTACAATATTATTATTTTTAAATCCCTTTCTACTACAAAAATAAAAATATTTGGTATGATGTTCTGCAATGGAATAGAAATGAACACTGTGTCATCTTTGGTACGTAAAATACTTTGAGATTAGTTTCATTCTTCACATTTAAATATAACAAGAAATTTTCATTGAAATTTAATAATTAATTTCATCACAATAGATGAATAAATTTACATAAAATGCAATATTTACCATTTATATGGAGATCTATCTTAGATATTACGATTATACATATTCTAATTTCGATTTCTTTCTCATGAAACGAATAAGCATGGAAGATACATTGCAATACTAAGAAATTCTTCTTAACTAATAAAATTAAAAACTAAATAGTAACTAAAATAACATACATGTTAATAAATTGTACATTTACACAGATTCCTTACGCCCAGTGATATTTATATTCAACTTATCGTTCTAAATTTGCATAAAATGGATCGTAAATTATCTATTTTGAGCGGCATTGCGTCCAATCTCCCAAATTATAGTCCAGGCTGCTCATTAGCCATGTCAGGGAGATGTTCATATTCCGGTGCATCAGGTGCTGGGTCAAGAAGTTTTTTTCTAAAACGAAAAGGCCAAAAATAAGTGTGCTGCACTGTTCTAAAAATTCTTTCTCTATCTTACATTGTGGCTCTTGTAAGAAGAGAATAAACAGTACTAAAAGAGAAGTAATAGAGTAAGATCACATGACCTGCACAGTTGCATGCAGCTACACGAACAATAAATATTATTTCAGTAGAAATTGTAATGAGAAATAAGCAGAAATTCCATTCACATGGTAATGGTAATATGAATTTAGCCTTGAACTGTCAACCATAAATTTATGTATGCATACTTACAGAAATTCAGGTGTTTTCAAGAACTTTTGACCTCCTCTTTGTCTTGGCAAAACATCTTCTAAGAAGAAATATATATGTCCGATAGCCATGCCTACTAAATCAACAGATATTGCATTACCAAGTAAAACCGAGAAACCTAGCAATACCCATGGAAGATATGGAGCCTGGAAAACAAAATATAAATAAAAAAACCACATCAAAATATAGAGATTTAAAGAAGCAAAGGTTGTTTCAATACCTGGAAATTCATGAGACCAAAAAAGTTCATGCGAACGAATATATTTCGACGAGACCATACATACACAATCATAATAGTGAATGCTTGACCTAAAAATAATAAATTAACAAAAAATGCAGACAACTGTAAATATTTGTTAAGGAAAATAACCATTTTGTTAAAAAATACTCAGATTATACTATGAACTTCTATGTACTATGAAGTAAATCAGAAAAGGGAGAGAAACGATAAAATAGTTTGTCAGATATATAAAATTTGCAGTACACAGTTTTAACAATTAGTATAAAATAAGTTATGCATAAGTTATATTTTTCCAAATAAAATCACTAGCTAGTCAAATTTATGTGTAATTCTTTCAAGAAACTTACACTATGCTTGGTCACCTAAAATAGCATAGATGTAGAACATAGTCTGGATGAACGCATAGGCTACTAATTAAGTTTTTTTAACTCCGCATGGATGGTAACAAAAGGATACAATCATCAGTGTTCCACCAAAGATAAACATGACAACGAAATCTGCTGTCCTCCCTCTGAAAGATCCTTCCTCCAACATTCTACAATATCTGTATGTAAATATCATATTAAAGAAAAAATTAAATCCTAAATTTCCAAAGAAAAGGAATGTTGTCAGCAAACGCCATATTTGAATCTTCTTCAAAATAAGGTTTGGATTGAAGTATAGTTGAAATGGTGAAACAAGGTCCAATTGCTGCAATCAAAAAATATACTTTAATGTGAGATACCATTATCTAGACAAATAGGATAGGATGGGTTGATCAAGTGCTAGCTTATCCAGTGTAAAAAAAAGATATTGGGATTACAATGAAATCCAAAAAAACATCTAATTGGCGCTCTTTTGTTTTTTAATCTTATTACACCAATTTTTTTTAAAATCTTTTCATGACCTGACCACCTTTACATACAAAATAAATTCGCAAATGTTTCACCACCAGGGCCATGATGGGTCCATACAAGATGTACTCTAAAATATGGTACAAAGGAAAACACTTAATACTAACCACAGCCAGTGTTGTGATGACACAAGCGGTGGTATAAGCTCTAGTTACGGGAGGTACGAGCATATACTCTTGATATAGTGTTTGATATGCCATTTTTACAAATACTGAATAATAGCACTACACTATAACCACATATTCATATTCATTTCTTAAATTAAGTCAAATTCTAATCAGCTTCAAAACGATTGGACCACATCATAGTTAAAATTGTAGGTACTTATAATCGCAATAATGATAAAAATATAATGATTGCTGCCTTTTATTATAAAAATGACATTGACAGCTCAATTCCGTTTATAATTAAGAATTATATACGCCAAGCCGGTTTAAAATATAATATTAAATAATCGGATTAATACATTTATGACAATATTTGTTTTCCTTGGGTTATAATCTTTTTATAATATTTGTAATGATCCAACTAAATAACAAATAAACTGTAAAAAATATGAAACTTGTTTTGACAGCTTTCTAGGAATGTGGGAGCTTGGCCTATATGTCAAACCAAATGTATGTGACAAGTGATAAGTTACAAAATTTGTATAAAAAATACTCTTTTGTATTGAACTTTATGCACCATAATTATGCGAGACGCATGCGATTAAGCAAGAGTGTTCTTCATCTGGTATAATTCACCCAAAAACTAAAACGTGTAAAAATGGATACAAAAGAAGTTGTCGACCACTTGGTGGCTCTAAAAGTCATGAGACTTACTAAACCTGCTCTGATCAGTCCTAAAATAGTAACGTGTGATTTTAAGGATTTACCCGGGAATATTTTAAATAACTTTTTGAAAGACGATGCGACGTCAGTGGTGCAGATGGAAACTTTAGCAGCAGGTCAATTCCTCTTATTACCTCAAAGTTTTGGTAACATTTATCTGGGAGAAACGTTTTCATGTTATGTTTGTGTACACAATGAGACCTCGCAAGCTGTGCAGAGTGTGTCTATAAAAGCTGATTTACAAACAAGCTCGCAGAGGATTCCTTTATCAACCCAAAATCAATCTCCAGTGATGCTGGATGTCGATGAAACGCTAGGTGACGTTATTCATCATGAAGTTAAAGATTTGGGCACACATATTTTAGTATGTGAGGTAACATATATGTCAAATTACAATACATTAGCCTCGTTCAGAAAATTCTTTAAATTTGAAGTCATGAAACCTTTGGATGTCAAAACAAAATTTTACAATGCTGAATCTGATGATGTCTTCTTAGAAACACAAATACAGAATATCACCTCGGGTCCGATAACTCTTGAACAAGTCTCTCTTGAGAGCTCTCAACATTTCTCAGTACAGTCACTGAACGAAGTTGACAAAGATTTATCAGTTTTTGGTTATGTAACTTTACTACAACCACAAGAAAGTTGCCAATATTTGTATCGATTAACACCAAAGGAAACAATATCTAGTGAAACCAAGCTCATAGTAGCTCCGAAGAATATTGGAAAACTAGATATTGTATGGAGATCAAACTTAGGAGAGAAAGGAAGACTGCAAACCAGTCAGTTGCAAAGAATAACACCGGACTATGGAGATATAAGGCTGTTGTATGTGGATTTACCTAGTAAAGTGTCTGTTAATGAGCCATTTAATTTTAAATGCAAGATAGTTAATGCAAGTGAGAGAACCTTAGATTTAATATTGAAATTACGTTCTCTTCAAGATTCTAGTCTTTTATGGTGTGGGATATCCAATAGGAAGTTAGGGCCATTAGAACCAGGTGGTGTCAAATATATTGATCTAACTGCTCTACCAATAAGTACAGGTCTACATGTTATTACAGGAGTATCACTAGTAGATTTATTCTTAAAAAGAACATATGATTATGATGACTTGGCATCAGTTTACGTTTTTTAACATGTAAACGCCACTCCAGTCACAAGTGACCAGATCCCTGCCTGCATTTAATCGCCGCATAGGGCACATGTGACCTCAAGGTTTTTTGTAATAACTGCAGTACCCAGCTTCTGATTGAACCCTAAACCAGAGTTTGAAGATTCAACATTTTGCATGTATTTCCAGTAAGAAGTCTTTGTGTTTTATTCTATTTCTACTGTAAAGTTTAATATGTTTAATAAAAAGCTTTTTAAATTTAAAATGTAGTAATTAAAACTTCTATCATCTAGTCTTTTAAATAAGCAGAACTTAAATTTTCCTTGCAATAGTGGTTTTTGTTAGGTATATAGGTTTTAAACTATATTGTAACATTGTACAATGGTCAAAAATTATTTTACATAAAAATGTGTAAATTAACTTCTATAATTCTGTTAGTTAGCTGTAAGTTGTCCCATTAATAAATAAAATAAAATAATCAATCCATTAGTTGTTAAAGTTTTGGATTATGCAAGCTGTATAAGTTAAGTATTCTTAAGTGATAATTATTTATCTTATACAGTAGAACTAATGCGTACTGTTTACATTGATTACAGTGTGTTCTTGTAATATGTACTTTGTAATTTTATGTGAAATTATAACTGTATATTATTTATTTACGAATTTAATTAAATACAAGTTGTGTCTATATTTTATAGTAAAATTTCGTTTCTATTTCACTTGTTTTCTTAATAAAATCCCTTTTAAAAATAGATCTTACTAATCTGAAAAGAAAGAGGAAAAAAGAGTTGGATGAAATCTGTGGCACTTAGCTTTAGCCCAGTTAGAACCATATTTTCATCGTGTCGTTGCCTAAGTTCAGTGTGTTTGGTGATTCCTAGATCATTTGCGCAACAGCTGTTTTTTTTTCAAAATCAAATGAATATTAAGTATTGTTCTGAGCAAGAATCCAGAGCTATAAAGGTTTTAAAAAATCAACATGTGTCAACTGTCACTGTCATTTAAGCTAACAGTTTACTGAAAGTTCACAACTTCACCCATCTTGCATCCATCACTTTTACTCGTAAATCACCATCACCGAAGAGTCAGAATAAGGAAAAGCAGTCAAAGCTGTATGAAATAAAATGGTTTTAATCAAAGAATATAGAATTTGCATGCCTATGACTGTTGAGGAGGTAATATTGTTGTGAAAATCATTAAAAAAAATTCTGTTTTAAGAGTTACAATGTTACAGTTATATGCGCTTCCAATTTAGTCAACGTATTTGCGTTTTAATTTTAGTATCGCATAGGCCAACTATATATGATAGCTCGTCATAGCTATGAACAATCAAATAATGGCGAGGGCGTGGAGGTAATCGCCAATGAGGAAGTAAATGACGAGGTTAATGGAACAGGACAATTTACTGAGAAGAGGATACATTTATCGAGGTTTGAGCAGCTTTCAATATAAATATCGTTGCTGCATAGGACCATAATATCCTTTCTAATGTATGTTTTATAAGAAAATATGTTTTTAAAGCATTTGACTGTGCATATTGTGAAAACGTTTTTGTGCACTGTTTCATCTCAGTAATTCTTCAATTTTATTGTTAAACGTTAACCCCTTAAAATGTAAATAACAGTTATCTGCACGTTCTTTACAGTCACCTTCCTTATTGGATCCAGTCTTTCCTTCCAAAAATATTTTATATAACAGAAAAAGCATGGAATTATTATCCATACACAATAACGGGTGAGTTAAAGCCTTATATGCAATGTTTATATATGATTGTGTTACTTTTATGTATTTATAATTCATTTTATTGTTTTCATGGACCCGAACATATAAAGAGTATACGGTATGTAATTTAAAACTAATTCTTGAAGTAATTCTTTTATTATTATTGTATTTAAATATATTTACCTTTTTCAGTGTTCTTTCATCCCAAAGTTCTCCATTTCTATTCAAACTAGATATGAGGATAATAATGGAACATCAGAAAATGTAAGCTGACAAATACAATATAAATTCATATTTCTACTAAGTTTGTCCTTAAAATTTATGAATTATTATATGTTTATAGTCATATAAAAACAATACGAGAGTTGACAGCACAGGAGACCGAAAGACTGGCAGCAAATAAAGAATTAGTTGAGCTATTCAAAGGGTTAATGCTGCCAGTATCTTTGGAACTTTGCCTAAAGGGATTCTTTTTAATAATATATTTTAGTTAATTATTAAGTATTCCTTAGTTTGTATTAGTTTAGCTGTAACTATATTAATTTAATATACTTCTTTCAGTGTCTTGGATTGACATCTGAAGAAAGTGAATCAAGGCAAGTTGATTTTATAGATATAGCATATGATGAAATCAAACCACACCATTATAAAGAGGCTGAGGATCCCAAGTTTTATAAATCTGAGAAGTCGGGCAGGGGACCTTTACCCGAGGGCTGGATGCAAACACAACAACCCATTATGTGCTGTTACAAAAGTGTAAATGTCAAATTTGAAGTTTGGGGCCTACAAACAAGAGTGGAAGAGTATGTACAAGGGGTATGTATTTCTGTTTTGGTCATAATTTGGTATATTTTATTAGATTTTTGCTTATAATAATACTAGCCTTAGCCAGCTACTCTAGGTTTTTCTAGCTAGGTTTAAAAATAAACTTTATTAGTAGCCTCTGTGTTCTTTCATTCTAAGTTTTACATCTGTGCCAAATTTCATCAAGATCTGTTAAGCTGTTCCGGAGATACATTCTAACAAACATTTATCCATCAATTTAAACATTCGCATTTATAATATTAGTAATATGTATGGTCATTTGGTAAATTTAGAATAACGAAAAAGGTGATGCATTGTTTTTATGTGTTTGAATTTGTTTTGTTTCTGTAGGCAATCAGAGATATCCTATTGCTTGGCCATCGGCAGGCATTCACTTGGATGGATGAGTGGTACAATATGACTATTGAAGACGTCAGAAATTATGAGAAAGATATGCAAGAGAAGACCAACATGAAGGTATGTATCTTCACCATTTCCATTACAGAAACAAAACATATGTTCTTATCATTTTTGAACAATACAGAGACATTACAGTCGAACCTGGGTAAGCAACAAGCCACTATAAGTGAGAGTCATTGTCCGGTCCTGACAGACAATTTTTATTAGCGATAAACTAGGATTAGAGAAAATGCTCTATACGCGAGAGACATATTGTCCCTTAGACTTTCATTTATCCTGTTACTACTGTATGTTTTTGTTAATGGCAGGTAAAGAAAAGAAAAAAGAAAGAAAAATTGTATTTGATGTGAAAATACTTTAAATGTTTCCAGATAAAGGTTTGCTTAGAGAATACCGAGGAATCAGAGAAAGCCAAGGAAACATCTCAACCTCAAACTCCGAAGTCTCCGAAGACTCCAAAGAGTGGTTCCAGTACACCATCAACTGAAGGCAGGTCGTGGTTCAACTGGTCATAAATTATATCAAACAATAGTTAATTAGATCTCATTGTAGTAACAGGGTTATGTTTCTATATGTGTATAACTGTTGATTTGAACCAAAGAGCAAAGAACATATAAATACTTTTCCAACAACTTTTTGTTATTAAAAATAGCTTTACACAATTCTTTCGTTCATCCATTTGCGCAATTTAAAAGTGGTACAAAGTTTTCGCTTCAATAATATAGAGATTACGAACTACAAAGTACTAAAACACTACACACTACGAACTACAAACTACTAATAATTCTTAGGGCGCAGTTTCATTATTGCGAAAGATTTCTATTCATGCATGCCTTAGGACTTGCACATTAGAATCATTTTCATTAGTTGTTAGGGTCCGTATACGTCTTGTAATATTTGCCGCGCCTTATACTCGGCAACTGATTCTCCATACGACGTTTGCTTTACATCAACCCATGTATTTTATTAAGACAAGCTAGAATAGACTGAAAAACTCAGTCGCTTCAAAGAGAGATAAACGTATTGTATTCCCATACGTTTGTCTCGCTCTAAAGCGACTGTCGAGCGTTTTTCGGCTTATGTCAAAATTAACCTTACTTTTAGCTCGTATACAGTACGGTCCTAAGGACTAATGAAACTGAGCCTTAATAGTAGTGTTAGGAAGAATATCCGACACTGTGTCGGTGTTCTGGAGCAACACTAGTCTTATTGAAATGTCGACGTTTATGTCCCCTCACTAATCATTTTGACACTTGTCTTTGTAAGACGCGCCATTCGCGCCAAAAGATTCTAACTAACAATGTCTAAAAGTAGTAATACTAAAATGCAGATAAATGAGAATATATTAAGTTCTAAATAATGATGTAGTTATTAAAATAACAGGGTAAGTACTTACTCATGATTCGAATCGGTTACCATCTAATTAATTTTATTGTAAATTGTATAGTATTATTGAAAACATTGTCATTTTAGGAAATATAGTTTTTTATAAACAAATATGTAATGTTTCGTTATTGTTACTAACATTTTTATTTAGTAACTCATCTTATTTATAAATAATACAATCAGTTAAATAGGCCTATTTTATTACCATAAGTTAATAAATTTTCGTTGATAATTTTTTTTACATGTAAAATAATGTATTTCATACATTAAGTTAAATTAAGTATGTAATGAAATTTATTTAATATTCTTTTATATGATTACAAATATTAGGTTGTTATCTAGGATATAATAAAATATAATTCACTCAATGTGTATAGTATTTCAAAGTATTAGAAATGAAATATAGTTCCCATGTTAGTGTGTCCAAAACAAATGTAAATTTATTTATGGTTTCAAGTTTCAACTATTCAACCAAAAATTATAATAGATACTTTTATAAATTAATGTTACCAAATGTTTTATATTGATGTGATTAAGTAATACAAACTATTTTGTTGAAGACTTTAATATTTTCTCACAATTCAAATTCCGATTACTAAAAATAGTAAAATAACTTTTTCTGATTTCTTTTATTTTTCTGTTTCTATTTGATGTTAATTTTTTCATGTTGTGTTTAAATTGTTAAAACTTTTATATGCTTACATTCCGAATGGTGATTTTCAATTTTTTTTTTTACCATAGAAAATATGATATTTCTTAATATTTGAAAAATTAAATTGGGTATAACAGAGTTTTCATATGTATTTGGATAGTACCATGGATATACCTGAATATTATGATTTTCAACGAAGCATCTGCAATATACTAGAATAATAATAAATTTACCATAAAACATAGTATATTTCGTTAATTACTATATACTGTAATACTCATATCTCCATATATATTTCAATATCCTAAGATTTATGTCCAAGTGCCTACATTTTAAGTTTCACCTCGCAGTGTTGTGCGTTATATATAATATTTATATGTATAAAATATAGTACACTATATGTTTAAGTAAATTGATATTGTTGTTTCAAAATATACTCGATGTCACTCCAATTTCTATTTCATTTATTTATTTTAACGTTAGAACCACTGGGGGGCTAGACGAAGCGATTCCATGATATGAGAAATTCAAAGAAACGAGAAATGTACGAAACTGACACGCGACAATTACGTGACTTATCGAAAGTTATTGTCAGTTCCATACATTTTTGATCTTCTTTATGGAATTGCTTCGAAGCGAATGCACTTTGTCTAACCCCGTTGTTCTCTATGAATAGATAAGCGATTGCCTGGAAATGACAGTACTTGCTTCGTTCCAATTAAAAAGCGCCTGTTGATGTTACATGACAGTTAATTATATCTATATTTTTAGTTCGGTTCCCCACCACCGCTACCATCAGCGCTACAATGGCGAAAATCAAATAGGCACAAAATACTACGACTTACAGCCAGTCTACTTATATAGGGCAGTGGTTACAACCGACTATGAAATTAAAGCAAGGTATTATTATTTTTTTGATTCCGCGTTGAAGTAAACACGCTTAATAAGTAAACTAGGTGTTCATCCAGAGTAAGTTCTAAATTTACCCCAAGTTTCCGTGAGATCCATAAAGTTGTTTTGGAGATACCTTCTAACGTCCAACTATACATTTAAACATTTGCATTTACAAAAAGGTTAAATGGCGAAGAAATAAAAGGATTAATTATTTGGGTTGTAATTTTCTAAACAAATAAAAACTATGGTGTTTCTTTCGCAATAATTTCCATAGTACGGTAAATCCAAGGTAGATGCATACCAATACTAGTGTATACCCCTGGTACGGTTGGCACCGCGCAGCTCAATCCGTAGCTGCTGATTCCATGTAGCTTTCCTGCGCACATTAATGGTCCACCAGAGTCACCCTACGATAAATCCTCAATATTATAAATGCGAAAGTAACTCTATCCGTCTCGTTTTCGCGCGAAACTACTGAATCGAATTAAATTAAATTTGATATACAGGGAGCAGCCTGAGCAAGGACATAGGTTACTTTTTATGAAAAAAGGGTTGAAAGAAGTTTATATCTATTTATAGCAGGTTTATAAATTTTGAATTCGTCCGTGCGGGATTAAAGAACATTTTTAAATTAAATTAGTAGTGTTGTGTTCTTTCGGACATTTATGCCAAATTTCATCGAAATCTGTTGAGCCGTTTTGGAGATACATTCTAACAAACATTCATCTATCCGAACGCATTTATAATATTAGTATAGATAATACCTGACAGGTGTCCTCTCTATTGCCAATTGCACATAACATACCATAGTCAAACCTAGGCGCTACATATAAGCCTAAAATGTCAGTGCATTCATCAAGTGAAATTATTTTTAATCTCGCGGCTTTCAAACGCTCCGGTATTATTTCTGTTTTTGAATCTGTGGTACCATAGCCGTATGCGAAGCATTCACCTGTAAATTATAATATTACGAGATGATTAAATTAAAAACAATTTTTTGTATCTTCTACAAAATTTAATGGGTGAGTAATTAGAAAGTTTTTAAATGTAGGTAGATTATAATGTCGACTATTAGTTTAGATAAGATGGAAGATTTAAACGAAACGTAAGAACGAAATCTTGTCAGTGTCGCGACTATTAAATGTAAGTAAATTAATGTAATAATTAAATGCTGCATTCGTGTGACGATTTTGTATAAATTGTTGTTGCTAATTTTGCTCATTGATTTATTGTGTTGCTGTCACAATATGGAAAATTGATTGCCTCGTTGGCACTCGTGATAATCCAAACCAAGTGTTGCAGTAATAAATGAGGTGATTTAAATTTGTTAAATTCTTATGCTCAGAAGTCATCATGTTCATAACTTAATTAAATCTATTGTTCTATACAAAAAAACATGGATTTTCATGTAAGGGTAGTCCTTAGCTCCTTAAATACAGTTTTTACTAGTTAAACAGTTAAGGCAACATGGAATTGTAAACTTAGTGGGTAATAATAAAGATTTTCATTTTTTCATTTTCATCCTTCATTGTGCTCGTTAGAAATGTAAATCTAAAAACTATCTATTATGAGTTGTCTACTTTTGTAATAATTTAAAGTTTTGTATGCTTACTTTTAAGTTACTTATGTATGGGGAGAGGTTGTATGTATGAAAGAGAAAGACCAAAGAAAGTATGGATTGGATTTTATTTATTTATGTACCTCACATAAATAAATAAATAAAATAAATACTGAGCCGATCCTCCGTAGAGTAAGGTTGATGATGTATGGGTAGAGGTTATTTGTATAATTTCTTTGTTTATAGTTACCTGATAAACCAAACGATGTGTTGGGTAATATATTGTCGTCTGTCCAATTGATATTGTGTGCGTCGAGGTGTATCCGAAGCAAGGCGATGTCGTGCGCCCGAGTATATCTGAAACCATACAAAGCAACGCTAAAACGCTTTGCCACCTTGACATAATATACAAATCTAATAATGATTTACACACTTTAAAGACTATAGTGCAAAAATATATAGTATAACTGTCGCCCGCGACTACGTTCGCGCGAAATTAAAAACAATATTTAGTAAGTAGTCTATGCGTTCTTCCAGACTATGTTCTACAACTACGCTGAATTTCAGCGAGATCCGTTCCGGAGATACCTTGAAACAAACATCCATTCATCCATCTAAACATTCGCATTTATAATATTAGTAATATAGAACATACTCTTTCTGCATGTCGGTTAAAAGTTTATACTTTGTACCAGTAACCAGGTAGGTATTTCCCTTTTTAAATATTAGAATTCAAATCATACTTGTCATATTCCGAGTGTTTGATGATTTCCAATACCGTAGCTTGTCGCGTATCATCACACAAGTTGCTGAGCTGCAGCACGTATTGACACGGTGCTTGTACACAATGAGCAGCTGTCAATGCAACCTCTTTGGTCACCAGCACCGCACCACACAAATGGCGGGAACTGTCACGCAACGATACCACGCGAATTTGAGAACCTTGAATGCAATCAAATTAAACATTTTCATTTAAACATTTACATCTCAAGTTAGATAAGATAGTATTTTTCTCGTTTATCACATTTTATTTACCACAATCAACTTCTACGCCACCAATAACTCGTTTAACTCTATTACAATCAGTTGTTAAAATAGTTAAACTTATTATTAATATTTTTACTGTAACGTATTGAATCCGAGTTATGTAAGTAGACATAATAATGCGACGGTTATCTATTTTACGTGCGAAATATTACATAATTATGTAGTTCATACATTGAATCTATGCGTAGTTTTAGTCGTATGAAATAATCGTGATACATTCATCCTTTATGACGGGATTAAGCAGCGGTTAGTGTTTCGGATGCCTGTGTTCGAAAGTCTCACTGTTGGTCGATTCCCTAATTCTAAGGATTGTGACCTCTCCTTTTGACCTTTCTTACAATGTTTCCATGCTCAGATCGTGCAAGGTAAACTATATAACAATTGTCGCTAAAGGTTAGGGTTGACGACCTCAGAATAAAAATTAAGATCAATTTGACAAATTAATGTTACAGAAATTCAAAAGTTATTAATATTAGTATCTCTTGTGGATTATAAAACGTACTTTTTCATATGACCAAATATATGAAATATTAAATATGTTTAATAAATATATGGCCTACATATCGCATAAAAGGCTAACTTGAAGACGTGGGCGGCTTAACGTGACTATATTGAATCCGTAGGAGTGAACGTAACAATTTTTATAAATATTTTTACCAAACCCAAACGCCTTCCTTCTACCACTTTTTACTTCACTTTTCTTTATTCATTCCGTTGGATTTATAATTGCGTTCAGGTTTAAGGTTAGGGGATCTTTTTTTTTGTTTCAGAGGGGATTGCTTTAGGCATCTCTCCCCGAATGGGAGCATACCCACTAAACCCCTCTGTTCCCTCATAGCCATAATGTGGTACGCCACGGGATCGTGTTAACTTACCACCGCAACGCCCCACTGAAGGTTAGGGGACCTGCTAAGTATATATGCTCTTGGAGTTTCTGTCTCAAAGAGTTATGGTTTATTTATAGTAAGCATTAGTTGGTTGACCCTATAACTAAAATAAATACTTACATTTCTAGAATAATAGACAGTATCTTCCTACAATCACAAAATATTCAAGTTTCTTATCTTTTGTGTAGATCGTCGTATTTACTGCGATGGAGTCTGGCCGCGGAGGCGGTGCGTAGGTGTTTGTTTGGTCAAAAAGCGAAACTTGTTACCGACATATTAATTGATTTATTATTAATCAAATTAAGTAATTTTTAATAATGTTAGTAATTAAATAATTAATTTATTAAAGTGAGAGCAAAATTAAGGTACCTTGCTGACGTGTTCAATGCCAATGACTTGTCTTCGAAATGCCTTTAGTACATATAAGTTCTTGTTTTTAGTGACATTTGAGTAAAGAAATTTAGTTAGATTCCACTGTGAAATACAAAGAACGCTGATGGAATATTTTATTGTTCTTATAATATACAAAGTGGCAGGGAGCGTTATTTGACAGTTGATTGAAATAAAAACAATTTTTCAAGTTTATCATAACTTTTCCATAGTTTTCATAGAAATCATAGACGTCTTTTAAGCTATACTTGAAAGTCATAAAAAACAGTAGGTGCAATGTTTGTCAAGTAACTAATTTTTCTCTAGCAAAGAAATACGCATGTATTTCGCTACGCCTGCAATCCCTATCATCAGTCTTACCTACATTTATATTACACGTTACCCTAATTCACTAAAAAGCAATACATTTGTATGGAAGTTATTAATCATAGGGGAGTGTACAAATAAACCACTTTTAAATCGATCGTTGTATTTTTAAAGTCTGTGTATTATTTGAAACAATTGACGCGCATACGATTTTACGCCTACCTACGCATATCCGGCATCTTATAAGTAAATGCGTATTATTTTGGATTTGCAAAAAGTATGGAACTTTAAATTTCAAGCTCCTCAAGCCCAAATAAAATGACAAATGATCCAATAAACAAGACCGGCCGCTAACATTTTTAAAGCAAATTTCAAAGCTGGTATTCGTAATACATTCCCTTATTCATTTATGGTTAATACTTATAGTTATAAAAGTTTAAAGGCTCAAAAATACGGTATATTTTCCATCTTCTACAAGCATAACCTTAATCCTACAAAAACATGTACTTTTTTCATACGATAGTAAATAATCATACTTTTTGTGTCAACTCTAACAAAATACGTAGAAGACACATCTTGATATATAATATTTATGTTTTGGTAACATTGTTCGTAGGCAACTACGCCGCCCTACGTAGCGACTAGCGGTCGTGGCACATTAAATAGTCGCATTTCAAATCCCAAGATAAAAGCTTTTGCTTACTTAGGGATCCATCGTATAACGGATCATACTTATGTTACATAATTCTTGTTCTTTGTATTGTTATTTAATACTTACGTAGAGGGAACGTAGCAGAGAATTAACATGCGTTCAATTAGCTAACAATGTATAACGTATCCAGCTTCATAAATTTCCAAGTGTTAACTGAGAAAGTTCAAAATCACTCGGTAAAATTAGTAAATTCATGTAGAGATAGATACTTTTTTACATTAAGAAATCATATAGAATAGATATAATTATTATAATATATAAAAAGTTAGGCCCTTCTTACATAATGTGTGAGATAAAATAAAGTCTTTGCAGAACCACAATTCTTTATTAAGAAAACCGCATGAAAATCCGCTTAACTCCTTTAGAGTTATTGCTTTATAAACGTACGGGGGTGTCGATACATTTTATCATGAAATCTTTAATTTATGTTAGAAACTCGTAAAATATTTTAAACTTATATTTTAATATAATTGTTTAAGTTTTCAAATAACATAAAGTTTAACATTGTATGTGTATAATCTGTAATAAAGTAGATTTTCAAGGCTCTTATGGTATTTTTTCGCTAACTAAAATAAATAGTATTTGGTACGAGAAGATGTAGAGAACCAAATATTCTACACATTTGCAACTTATAGAATCTGAAATTTACCGTTTACTTTATAGGAATGCTATTAATGGAGAACTGGCGAAAAACGATAAATTACTCTCGTTTGTAAAGAGCGCTTATTGCGTTCAAAATAGCTTGTCTATAATTATTTAGTGTTATTGTTGTGGGTTGCATGTGATGCCAGAGCGCAGCGACAACAGACAGGTGGGAGCGGGCGCGGGCGCGGGCGCGGGAAGCGGGCAGCGGCCACCGGAGGTTTATGTAACGCGGCGCGCAGTAGTCCGGCGACCGCGGCACACCGCCATGGACCGCGCCAGCGGTGGCCCGCCGCACCCGCCCGCGCACTCCGGCTTCGGCGCCTTCTGCAGCGCCATCTCCGACACGCTCTCGGTACGTAACCGCGACGATACGATACCCCCCCCCCCATTCTTGCCCCGCACACCGCTACACACACCACACACCCGTATGCGACACGAACGCGCCAACACTAAAACACTTTTTGGCGCCAACGCACCATTTCTTCCCGCTCAAATTCCGCCGATAATCAAATTGTCGCGTAAATAGCTATAATTTGAAGCACGTGGCCGTCGAGGTCGTCCGGACTTCTAGTACGGCACAGGTGATAGACGAGAGGGTTATTGTAAAAAAAAGTCATCGGATGAGAATAAAAAATATAAACAAGTTTATTATTAGAGTGCTCGTTCGGGCCGGGTCGCACGGCCGTGATTTGTCCGATGGCTGTGATATACCGAAATACCCGCGCAATAAACGAATCGCCGCGGGACGTACAAAGCCCGAGCGTGACATCGCGCGCGCGGACTGTGCAAGTCGCCCGTCGTCCGCCACCTGCCCGCCACGGCCGGCCCTTAGCGCTCTCTCTTGGCGCTACGAACCAAAAGCACCGCATCACCTTCCTGTCTGACAACCTCCGTCTATCACCGACATAGGTATGAATGTTTGTTACCTTTTATCTCCCAAGTAAAAGTTCTATAACAAAAATCTATCTTTTTCTTCAAATATTGTTTCATCAATTGTTCTTTATATCGCCTCGTCGTTACGGAAAAATGTAGATTGAACTTTGAAAGTGCGCGGGCTAGAGCATGTTTGTTTTTATTTAAAATTCTGTGAAGTGAGCTCAACACTTTATGTGTTTGTAAACTAAAATGGTTTTATGGAGTGATGAAGTAATCAGGAAAATTAAAATTTCCTTATTATAAGTAAAGAGGAATAGCTTTTCCTTTGATCTGTTAAATGCAACGAGAGTTTTATCAGTCATAGACACTTGGTCGAGAAAGTTCAATCTTAGAAATTCTTTTGTTTTGTTTATGGACAATAAAATGTTGTAGAGATTGGAAAACGATAGTTTACCGTTTGTAAGTTGTTCCTGCACGTTCGTGTGAGTAGGAACATTAGTAAGTGGTTCATACACGCGATGATTAGTGGTATCGTGCATTGGCAACAGCTGATAGCACTGAAGTACTACGCGTCTGTTCACCACTGCCAACACTCTACGTGGCCGCGCGGTGCACATATATGCACTTTGTTTTGTGTTGTGTGAATTTTAAATTATCTATATTTGTATTTACCAGTAAGTGATCGATAATTTAAATATTGTTTCTAATTGCCTTTTTTATCAAGAAGTAGATTATACATTGTTTAATTTTGAAACAAAAACTAATTAAAAACGGCTATACTCATATTTTGTTAGTCTGGTTCCGGTAGTCTGGTCACGTGAATTTAGCCGTTTTTAATTAGATTGTGACAAGTAGTAAATGAAAATCCTTCCTTTAATTTTATTTCTAAACATTAATATTAACATAGTATCGAAGTTTTTAATTTAGGGAAGCGTGGGAGAGTTGTTGGTTTGATATTTGTTTTTGTTCTTTAAAAATATTAAGCTTAAAAGATATACTAAATTTTTATTAGTAATCAACAAAAATTTATTCTAACTTATGAATTATAATTGAATCAATCAATAGGTAATAAGAAGGCGTTTTAAA